CCCCCCCCCCCCCAACCCTGTCCGATCGCCCTGACACCTCCTCATTCATGTCCATACCTAGGAACTTGTAATTCCTGAGAATAGGGGAGCAAAATGGTAGGCGGGGCTAATTGTGGCGTGCTGAATGGTGGTTGTGGTCAAATTGTGGTGGTGCTTATAAGTGGGAGGGGCTTAAGGGATAGGCCTGTAGTCTACAGAATCTACACAGCATTACAGTGATATTAACGGTGCACCTGGCTCAGACCACCAATTCAGTGACACTGGCTGCCATCTGTGGGTCAGTGTCACTGGAAAAGTGGTCGGTGGGAGCCAGATGCATTGTGTGCCTAATGACACTGATAGTGTACCTGGCAGACACCTAACACACATACACTTCTAGTGTACCTGTCTGCCACCAGGTAAGTGACCCATTTCCCTGGGTCCCTTGCTGTCCAGCACAAATACTCCTCTTGCCCCCTCGGACCACCCCCTAGGCTACGGCAGGACTCCTCTTGCCCCCCTCGGACCACCCCCTGGGCTACGGCAGGCCTCCTTCACCTGTTGACCTCTGACCTTGCTGCTGGCAGTGCCCCTGTTCACCCCAATCAGAAAGGGCCACTAGTGACCCAGAGACCATTGGCCGTCCTTATCTTCCTCTGTTCTGCACCCCTCCCTCCTCCTCCTTCTCTTCAGGCAGCCAATCAGTATAGAGCACATGGCGCATGATGCAGGACAATGACTTCACGCATGCTGCATGTATGATTACAGGTCGGTGGCTCCAAGGGTTCTAGAGAGTTGCGTGATTCTGGTAATTATCCGGCATTGCTGGGTCCAATCCCGGAAAGTTCCCAGGATGCGCATGTCCAAGAAGTAGATGGTGACCCTGTATGATGCCTGAACTAAGATGGCGCCGTCCTTCTAGAGAGAAAAGCAGACGAAGGCATTGTCAGGGGGAGTCATGTGATCTCTGTAACAAATACCTGGAAGTGTTACATTGAATGCGTGGACTTGCAAGCAAAAATATACGCGACGACCGGTCCACTTTAAGAGACGAGTTTCAACAATTGGCGCCGTGACGCGCCTCGTCCCCGGCCGCGTTTAACTTAATACTAGAAAAATTGTTAACTATGGCAACTAATGATGAAAACGATAAAAAAAAAAATAGGCTCAGATTGTTCCTCTAATTACTGTTTTGTTTCCTCTTTATTTTTAATTGTTCGCGTTGCTGCGCCGGTGTTGTTCTGTTTAATCGGTTCTTCGCAGGAGCAGCGAGCGCGTGTGATTTTTTCTTTCATGCGTACAGTAGCGCGGCGGGCAATTATCTGTGCAAAACGCTGCAAAGATAAGGCCGACACCCCCTCCAGAGAGGAACTTCCTAAAGTCGCTCAGGCTCCCCCCCGGAGGCACCCTTGGGCCCCCGAACCATAAAAGTTGCCGGCGTTCCGAATGAAATTAAGTTTGCCGTCCCGAGGAGAAACAGATTAAAAGCGCCAGCTTCTTCCCCCCCCCGGCAGGATGCGGCGGCGGCAGCGGCTGATAACTGCGTTCGCGGCTCGGCTGCGCTGCGGCAGGCCTCTACTGCGCAACGCAGCTGCGGAGAGATGACAAGTGGGACTTTTAAGCGGGCAGCCCAGGCCGCTGGAACCTCTCAATCCTTCTGTCCTTGCCAAAAGAGAGCCCCCCTCGCCGCCGACAAAACAGATGGCATCTGATACAATTAGGTCTAGTGCCAACAGCAGGCATTGTTCACGCAGCGGCGCGTTGTGGGGGAGATGCTGAAACGATCATTTCAGAGGCTTTTGTTTTGCAGGAGGCGGGAGAGCCGGAGGCGACGTTCCAAATATTACTTCGGAAGATGCAAAGAAGAAAATGCAGATTAGAGTTGTACGGAGAGGGGGTGACTTTTAAGAGTTAAAGGGACAGTCCACTTCAATGGGATTATTCAGATCCAGCCGCCTGCCCGCGCCTGCTCGAGGGCTCTCCTGGTGGAATTACTTTTCCGCACTCGAGTTTCCAGCTGCCGCCGTTAGCAGGGAAGACAGACTCTTGCTGGCGGAACCTCGACTTCATTAAGATGATGGGGGAGTGCAGCTGGAGAAGTGGGCGGAGCTGGGAACGCCCGCAGCTTGAGAATAGATGGCATGATCACAGTGTAGAAATGCATTGCATGCAAACGGTCCGTACAGTAAACTTCGACTCCAGCTGCGCTTTACCTACAAATCCCAACATGCCTCTGGGAGTCATGCCTGTAACTGTCAGTCTTGCAATGCCTCGTGGGACTTGTAGTTCCGCAACAGCTGGAGGGCCGGAGTTGCCCACCCTTGCTTCCATTGGTCATTGGCACAAGACTACACTCCTTGAGCCTGCAGGAGAAGATTGCTATATGATATAACTGACCTTCAAATCCCATTTCCTAGTGAGGGTCCCCCATCCACCAATGTTCTTGAGACGCAGGGGGCCCCAGCGCATTCTCTGTGACTGGGCGTCATTGAGCGATTAGTACAGCAGTGGGTAGCAGACGTACTATTGGTGACAGAGCTCATGGCCTTATGGGACTTGGTCCACAGAGGGGTACTTATTGATAAGGAGGGGGTGCCAAGGGCAAGAAAACATTTTGGGGGCCAGCGGGTCAAAGCTTGGGCAGCAGTGCCGCTGCACACTCGGCATTTGGAAAGTGAATCAATACTTTGTATCTAAACCCAAGAACAAAAATGTAACATGTTGCAGCATTCCCGTCCTTAGGTCCTGCATACAGGGCCGTCCCTATAATGACGCAGCCTGAAGCGGTTGCCTCAGGCGGCATCTCATTGGGTCACATTGGAGGGGGGTCCTGTACGGCCAGAGCATCCCAGGTTGCTAAGAGCTGTGTCCCACCCGCGTCCCACCCAGCTCACTGATGTCACTGGTTGCCAGGAGCTGAGCGGGATGCTCTGGCTGGTGTTGCTCCTGGCAACCAGTGACATCAGTAAGCTGGGCGGAAAACACTGGATCGAGCCAGAGCCAGAGGTACTGTGCATCACCCATTCTCCCTCTGCCCTCAGGTGGTGAAAAGTGTGGGGACACCACTGGCTGCATTATTTTTCATTTTTAGATATCTGTTGATCCCGCCAGAAACCCACAGAACTGAAACCGTTACCAGCTTTCCCGGCCGCCTTCTGTGAACTGCAAATCCTCACCTCTGTGATGGCGATGAGGACAGGGGATAGCTTTCTCTAGTCCTGTACTAGGGTGACATTACAAAGTTTCCTTTACAATACTGAAGATTCTTTATTCGCTGAAAAAGGGAATCGGATTCCCGCCTCCCCCCGAGCTGAGCGCGCGCACACATGCCCTCTTCACCCGGCGTAACCTTTTCAGCGCTTAAGTTTTAAATTGGCAGCGAAGCCATTTTGTCTCCCCGGATCCCGCAATGAGCTTATGGTAAGCCTGGAGCAGGTGATAAGTATTTTCTGCTCATTGAACGGGTTTTATTTGCTCTAATTAGAATTTTCTGGGCGATTTATGTAACCTAAATAATTATATCTCCCGTACTAGAGGGCCCCCCCCCCTCATCATCCCCCCCACTCATCCCAAGGCAGACTCATATAATGCAACGGCTATGTGTCAGTGCAAGGCAAGGGGTTGATGAGATGCTGCAGTGCATTGTGGGTAGAAAGAGACTTCCAGGTCGGCCCTGTGATCGCTCTTATATGTGTCTCAGCTTTAAAGTGTAAGAATGGTAAAGAGACAGAGAGAGAAGCAGCACAAGCAGCCAATAGGCTGCGGTACAGTAGGAATGCTGATAGGAGGAGAGAGCACAGAGGCATAGAGATGAGCTCATCAGTCTGCCGCTTCTCCTTTCACTATCCAATCACAGGCTGGGGGAGGGACAAGACCTGTAAGTGTTATTGAATTGCAGCACAGGAAGATCAGGTCTTCTGGAGTTCAGGTTTAAAGCCATCCTGAGCTGCAATTCAAAGGAATTGAGAGAATCGAGAAATACTTCCTCCTGCCTGCAGCAGACTGATCACTGGGGGAGGGGAGACTGAGGAGATGCTTCCTCCTGCCTGCAGCAGACTGACCACTGGGGAGGGGAGACTGAGGAAAAGCTTCCTCCTGCCTGCAGCAGACTGATCACTGGGGGAGGGGAGACTGAGGAGATGCTTCCTCCTGCCTGCAGCAGACTGACCACTGGGGAGGGGAGACTGAGGAAAAGCTTCCTCCTGCCTGCAGCAGACTGATCACTGGGGGAGGGGAGACTGAGGAGATGCTTCCTCCTGCCTGCAGCAGACTGACCACTGGGGAGGGGAGACTGAGGAAAAGCTTCCTCCTGCCTGCAGCAGACTGATCACTGGGGAGGGGAGACTGGGGAAATGGTTCCGCCTGCTTGCAGCAAACTGATCACTGGAGGAGGGAAGAATGAGGAAATGTCCCTCCTGCCTGCAGCAGACTAATGACATCATCTCATCCTAGGTAAAGTCACCAAACTGGATTGTGGGGACAATTTTGATAAAAGAGCCATAATGTAGAAAAATGGACCCTGTTGCTGTATATTATGACACGTCGGGAATGCTTTATGTCGGGTTCTCTGTCGTGTTGTCAGTGACCTGTAAATGAATTGTTTCACCTTCTCATGTGATGTGGGTTCTTTTTTCTCATTGGCGTTTCTGTTTATTTTCAGGTACATGATCACTTCGCTGGACCGGACGCACGCCGGCCATTACCGCTGCATCGTGAGGAACCGGCTGGGAGCTTTGCTGCAGAGGCAGACGGAGGTCCAGGTGGCCTGTAAGTTCCTCCTTTCTATCGCCGCGCTTTGTAACGTAGAAACCGCAAGCGTCCCCCGGAGAGATGTATGCGGTGTCGTTCATGCCAGCACCGGGCTCTCCGTCTCCGCAATAAAATAAAAACATTAACAGTGAAGTCGCCGCATAGGCGGCAGACACGCGATCATCACAATGTTCGAACTTCCCGGGGAAAGAAGCGACGGCTGGACAGATAGACGGAGGGAAATCCTGGGGGAAAGTGAGAGAGAAGGAAACAGCTCCCGCTTCCATTGCTTTGTGAAGGGAAGTCTTCTCCCCGTGCCTATAGAGGAGGTAGAGGTGCCTATAGATGGGATGGAGGTGATATAGATGTGCCTATAGATGGGATAGGGGTGCCTATAGATGGGATGGAGGTGATATAGATGTGCCTATAGATGGGATGGAGGTGATACAGATGGGATAGCGTGATATAGATGAGATAGAGGTGATATAGATGTGCCTATGGATGGGAGAGAGGTGATGTATATGTGCCTATAGATGGGATAGGGGTGGCATAGATATGCCTATAGATGGGAGAGAGGTGATATAGATGTGCCTATAGATGGGATGGAGGTGATATAGATGGGAGAGAGGTGATATAGATGTGCCTATAGATGGGATAGCGGTGCCTATAGATGGGATGGAGGTGATATAGATGTGCCTATAGATGGGAGAGAGGTGATATAGATGTGCCTATGGATGGGAGAGAGGTGATATAGATGTGCCTATAGATGGGATAGGGGTGGCATAGATGTGCCTATAGATGGGATAGCGGTGCCTATAGATGGGATATAGGTGCTATAGATGGGATAGAGGTGATATAGATGAGATAGGGGTGATATAGATGTGCCTATAGATGGGATAGCGGTGATATAGATGTGCCTATAGATGGGATAGAGGTGATATAGATGTGCCTATAGATGAGATAGGGGTGATATAGATGTCCCTATAGATGAGATAGGGGTGATATAGATGGGAGAGAGGTGATATAGATGTGCCTATAGATGGGATAGAGGTGATATAGATGTGCCTATAGATGGGAAGAAGGTGGTATAGACGTGCCTATAGATGGGATAGAGGTGATACAGATGTGCCTATAGATGGGATGGAGGTAATATAGATGTGCCTATAGATGGGATGGAGGTGATATAGATGTGCCTATAGATGGGATAGAGGTGATATAGATGTGCCTATAGATGAGATAGGGGTTCCGTCTCCGCAATAAAATAAAAACATTAACAGTGAAGTCGCCGCATAGGCGGCAGACACGCGATCATCACAATGTTCGAACTTCCCGGGGAAAGAAGCGACGGCTGGACAGATAGACGGAGGGAAATCCTGGGGGAAAGTGAGAGAGAAGGAAACAGCTCCCGCTTCCATTGCTTTGTGAAGGGAAGTCTTCTCCCCGTGCCTATAGAGGAGGTAGAGGTGCCTATAGATGGGATGGAGGTGATATAGATGTGCCTATAGATGGGATAGGGGTGCCTATAGATGGGATGGAGGTGATATAGATGTGCCTATAGATGGGATGGAGGTGATACAGATGGGATAGCGTGATATAGATGAGATAGAGGTGATATAGATGTGCCTATGGATGGGAGAGAGGTGATGTATATGTGCCTATAGATGGGATAGGGGTGGCATAGATATGCCTATAGATGGGAGAGAGGTGATATAGATGTGCCTATAGATGGGATGGAGGTGATATAGATGGGAGAGAGGTGATATAGATGTGCCTATAGATGGGATAGCGGTGCCTATAGATGGGATGGAGGTGATATAGATGTGCCTATAGATGGGAGAGAGGTGATATAGATGTGCCTATGGATGGGAGAGAGGTGATATAGATGTGCCTATAGATGGGATAGGGGTGGCATAGATGTGCCTATAGATGGGATAGCGGTGCCTATAGATGGGATATAGGTGCTATAGATGGGATAGAGGTGATATAGATGAGATAGGGGTGATATAGATGTGCCTATAGATGGGATAGCGGTGATATAGATGTGCCTATAGATGGGATAGAGGTGATATAGATGTGCCTATAGATGAGATAGGGGTGATATAGATGTCCCTATAGATGAGATAGGGGTGATATAGATGGGAGAGAGGTGATATAGATGTGCCTATAGATGGGATAGAGGTGATATAGATGTGCCTATAGATGGGAAGAAGGTGGTATAGACGTGCCTATAGATGGGATAGAGGTGATACAGATGTGCCTATAGATGGGATGGAGGTAATATAGATGTGCCTATAGATGGGATGGAGGTGATATAGATGTGCCTATAGATGGGATAGAGGTGATATAGATGTGCCTATAGATGAGATAGGGGTTATATAGATGTGCCTATAGATGAGATAGCGGTGATATAGATGTGCCTATAGATGGGATGGAGGTGATATAGATGTGCCTATAGATGGGATAGAGGTGATATAGATGTGCCTATAGATGGGATAGCGGTGATATAGATGGGAAGAAGGTGGTATAGACGTGCCTTGGGTAACGGTCATGGTTTCTCTATTTTCTATGAAGCTATATGAGCAGATCTTGGCTGGAATACAATATTCTCCTTTTCATCTCCGTTGGCTGCCGAGAGGAATTTCCATTAAAGGATGAGGACACTTTCAATGCACATAAACTGCTTCAATGTATCCGGGCAAATCAAGTTTGCAGATACAATGTTTCCTCCTTGTTCCTTCCTCCTGCTGTCCTCCGAGGACCCTACATGGGAACACCTCAGTCCTGGCAGTTCAGGTTTCCTGGCCGATGCAGTTGATGTTCTTCTAAATGTAAAAACAAAAAAAAAGAATTAGAAGACGGGGACAGAGCGTGTCACCCTGTAACAGGAAGTGCCTGAGCAAGGATCTCCGTGGCAGGATCACCGGGGATTATTTGAGTGAAAGCTGTAAGAAGGCTACAAAGTGGCCTCTGAAATGGAAGTTACACATGATAAAGATTTTAGTGATTGTGCTGAACAGAAAAAAAAACATATAGACCCCGGACAGTGTCTCTCTGCCCATGAAGGGGTTAATCTGCTGTTGTGTGAAGGCGCCATCCATTCCAATTGAGGTCTATCGGTGGAAAATTACGCCCGGGGAAGTGGGCGCGCCGCGTCAGGCGGGCGCGCTGTATTGAGGATGGAATGAGGTCGGGTGGTGCGAGGTGACACGGGTCGGTGATGGAGTTGGGGGCAAGCGGGTTAAAAGGAACTCTAACGGAGTTATCGGCGGTCAAGGAGAAAGCTGACCGCTGACAGTTTCCTCCGCCAGCCGCGCGCCGACAGTGGAAGATATTCCGAGGATGTTTCACGGGTGAAAGTTGAGGTCCTTGGCGGGAGATTGGATGCGGGAAATGAAAGAGAGGGCAGAGCCGGAGGTGAACCGCTCGCAGTAAGCTCGGTCTGTTGATGTGATTGTGACACTTGCTGCAGCGCGCGCTCGGACGGCGTAGGTGGAGAGAGGACAATTTCTCATCTCTGTGCAGGAGAAACTGCAGGAAAAAATCATTTCAGTTATAAAGACCTGTGAAAATACCTGTTCATATTCCCCAGCCTCTGTTCATATTCCCCAGCCTCTGTTCATATTCCCCAGCCTCTGTTCATATTCCCCAGCCTCTGTTCATATTCCCCAGCCTCTGTTCATATTCCCCAGCCTCTGTTCATATTCCCCAGCCTCTGTTCATATTCCCCAGCCTCTGTTCATATTCCCCAGCCTCTGTTCATATTCCCCAGCCTCTGTTCATATTCCCCAGCCTCTGTTCATATTCCCCAGCCTCTGTTCATATTCCCCAGCCTCTGTTCATATTCCCCAGCCTCTGTTCATATTCCCCAGCCTCTGTTCATATTCCCCAGCCTCTGTTCATATTCCCCAGCCTCTGTTCATATTCCCCAGCCTCTGTTCATATTCCCCAGCCTCTGTTCATATTCCCCAGCCTCTGTTCATATTCCCCAGCCTCTGTTCATATTCCCCAGCCTCTGTTCATATTCCCCAGCCTCTGTTCATATTCCCCAGCCTCTGTTCATATTCCCCAGCCTCTGTTCATATTCCCCAGCCTCTGTTCATATTCCCCAGCCTCTGTTCATATTCCCCAGCCTCTGTTCATATTCCCCAGCCTCTGTTCATATTCCCCAGCCTCTGTTCATATTCCCCAGCCTCTGTTCATATTCCCCAGCCTCTGTTCATATTCCCCAGCCTCTGTTCATGTTCACCAGCCTCTGTTCATATCCACCAGCCTCTGTTCCTGTTCACCAGCCTCTGTGGTATTCCCAACGAATATTCCTAAACTCATCCGAAAATTGGGATTTCGTCCCAATCCGAAACCCGAACCGAATTGAATTTGGGATCCGAATCCCGAAATAACGAACTATCTGAACCAAATTGTTCCGCCGCTTACATGTGTACCGGGCTCTCAGTTTTCGCACTAAGCAGTTTGTTCTGAATATTGGGGTCCCCGTTGATGATTTTGCAGACAGCCATCAGGTCCCCCTTTAAAGCCCCGTTCACATTGAGCGATTTATCGCGCGGTAATTCCCGCGATATCGCTCTTCAATGCATCTCAAAGGGGCAAAGGGTCCTGCTGTCGCGGGTCATGTGTCGCTACAGCAGGACCCTTTTTGGAGCGGATTTTGCCGCGATTCAAGCTTGCTCAATGCAAGCATTTGCGCGATATCGCGCGACAAACGCACGATTTGCGAATCGCGCCGTGTGAATGGGGTCTCAACCTCCCTGGAGGTAATCCCGAGTGTGGCTCGGGGGTTCATTTTCATGAACCAAAAAGCGGTAACCCCCCGAGCCACACTCGGGATCACACAGTAGCGTTACTGACCTCGTCCACGATCCCCCGCCGTGTCCTCCGTCCCTTGCGAGCGTTCCGCATCGCAGGGAGGGGCGGAGCCGGCCGGAAATTTGAAAGTGAAAAAACGGGGGGAAATAAAAACAAAAAAGGAAAAAAAAATGAAATAATCGGACCGCCAGGGAGGT